AATCATAGATAACTCTGTTAAGATAGAGAAGCGAAATGATAGAATTTAATATGCATTGTGCTAGATATCAATAGTATTAGGACAGAATAATAATTTAATTTTGGAAAGAGAAAAAAAACATGTTGCTACGTAACATTTCGTATTTTATGCCTGTAAGACATATTTTGTCAGTTGTAAATAATGTAAACGAATGATACCTTGATTAAGCTGCAATAGTAAGCGTCGGTAGCGTGGCCGAGCGGTCTAAGGCGCTGGTTTAAGGCACCAGTCTCCTCGGAGGCGTGGGTTCGAATCCCACCGCTGCCAAGTGATTTTTTTAAGTAAGTTAGGAATCAATTTATCGATTTTTGCATTTATTGACGAAAATTTTAATGCATAAAAGATTAATACATTGAAGATCTTGTTTTAATCATAGATAGAACACAATTATCATGTTTCATTTACGTATTTCAAATTCTGAACGCTATCTACATGCAGTTAAAAATTCATGACTAGCATTGCAGAAGAATAACTGGTTACACGTATAATACAGGTTTTCACAACTATTCGAAATGCTTTGAAAACAGGAGTAACGGGGGATAAAAAAACTATGCCCCGGGTGAGGATCGAACTCACGACCTTCAGATCGCTCTGTCATTTGTGATTATGAGACTGACGCGCTACCTACTGCGCTACCGAGGCCATGGTTCTAAAACTTCAATTTAAGGTGTAAATACTTCATAACATTACCATTAACATTGTAGTTACTTGTCAAGGTGAGTGTAGGGCAAAAAGAAACATCTTTTTCTTAAAGGAAACATATTTCAAAACATAATGAGCTGTGTTGGTTGTTCATTTTTATAGTTCTTTAGTTTTTGAAATACTTTTTATGGTTTTGGGTTTTTTCCCCCCATTTCTTTTTTCTCCAGGAGCCAATTAAGTATATAGTGATGACAGAAAACTCTTTTAAAAAAATATGCTGCGGAAACTATTTGTTGTTAGCGAAAAAACGTTTTGCACGTGCATTAATCACGTTTCAGTGAGCACAGTTAGCATTGAAGCCGTTATAATTTCAACGATTTTCGCGCGGTCAAAATGTACTATAGTCTAATTCATCCAATTTGAAATAGTGAAAACCGCCCTCCTGTATGACGTTACTTGTGAGTACTAATATCAAATTCTAAGCCAAATTAAGTCCATGTTACCATATATAGTCAAATCATAGATAACTCTGTTAAGATAGAGAAGCGAAATGATAGAATTTAATATGCATTGTGCTAGATATCAATAGTATTAGGACAGAATAATAATTTAATTTTGGAAAGAGAAAAAAAACATGTTGCTACGTAACATTTCGTATTTTATGCCTGTAAGACATATTTTGTCAGTTGTAAATAATGTAAACGAATGATACCTTGATTAAGCTGCAATAGTAAGCGTCGGTAGCGTGGCCGAGCGGTCTAAGGCGCTGGTTTAAGGCACCAGTCTCCTCGGAGGCGTGGGTTCGAATCCCACCGCTGCCAAGTGATTTTTTTAAGTAAGTTAGGAATCAATTTATCGATTTTTGCATTTATTGACGAAAATTTTAATGCATAAAAGATTAATACATTGAAGATCTTGTTTTAATCATAGATAGAACACAATTATCATGTTTCATTTACGTATTTCAAATTCTGAACGCTATCTACATGCAGTTAAAAATTCATGACTAGCATTGCAGAAGAATAACTGGTTACACGTATAATACAGGTTTTCACAACTATTCGAAATGCTTTGAAAACAGGAGTAACGGGGGATAAAAAAACTATGCCCCGGGTGAGGATCGAACTCACGACCTTCAGATCGCTCTGTCATTTGTGATTATGAGACTGACGCGCTACCTACTGCGCTACCGAGGCCATGGTTCTAAAACTTCAATTTAAGGTGTAAATACTTCATAACATTACCATTAACATTGTAGTTACTTGTCAAGGTGAGTGTAGGGCAAAAAGAAACATCTTTTTCTTAAAGGAAACATATTTCAAAACATAATGAGCTGTGTTGGTTGTTCATTTTTATAGTTCTTTAGTTTTTGAAATACTTTTTATGGTTTTGGGTTTTTTCCCCCCATTTCTTTTTTCTCCAGGAGCCAATTAAGTATATAGTGATGACAGAAAACTCTTTTAAAAAAATATGCTGCGGAAACTATTTGTTGTTAGCGAAAAAACGTTTTGCACGTGCATTAATCACGTTTCAGTGAGCACAGTTAGCATTGAAGCCGTTATAATTTCAACGATTTTCGCGCGGTCAAAATGTACTATAGTCTAATTCATCCAATTTGAAATAGTGAAAACCGCCCTCCTGTATGACGTTACTTGTGAGTACTAATATCAAATTCTAAGCCAAATTAAGTCCATGTTACCATATATAGTCAAATCATAGATAACTCTGTTAAGATAGAGAAGCGAAATGATAGAATTTAATATGCATTGTGCTAGATATCAATAGTATTAGGACAGAATAATAATTTAATTTTGGAAAGAGAAAAAAAACATGTTGCTACGTAACATTTCGTATTTTATGCCTGTAAGACATATTTTGTCAGTTGTAAATAATGTAAACGAATGATACCTTGATTAAGCTGCAATAGTAAGCGTCGGTAGCGTGGCCGAGCGGTCTAAGGCGCTGGTTTAAGGCACCAGTCTCCTCGGAGGCGTGGGTTCGAATCCCACCGCTGCCAAGTGATTTTTTTAAGTAAGTTAGGAATCAATTTATCGATTTTTGCATTTATTGACGAAAATTTTAATGCATAAAAGATTAATACATTGAAGATCTTGTTTTAATCATAGATAGAACACAATTATCATGTTTCATTTACGTATTTCAAATTCTGAACGCTATCTACATGCAGTTAAAAATTCATGACTAGCATTGCAGAAGAATAACTGGTTACACGTATAATACAGGTTTTCACAACTATTCGAAATGCTTTGAAAACAGGAGTAACGGGGGATAAAAAAACTATGCCCCGGGTGAGGATCGAACTCACGACCTTCAGATCGCTCTGTCATTTGTGATTATGAGACTGACGCGCTACCTACTGCGCTACCGAGGCCGTGGTTCTAAAACTTCAATTTAAGGTGTAAATACTTCATAACATTACCATTAACATTGTAGTTACTTGTCAAGGTGAGTGTAGGGCAAAAAGAAACATCTTTTTCTTAAAGGAAACATATTTCAAAACATAATGAGCTGTGTTGGTTGTTCATTTTTATAGTTCTTTAGTTTTTGAAATACTTTTTATGGTTTTGGGTTTTTTCCCCCCATTTCTTTTTTCTCCAGGAGCCAATTAAGTATATAGTGATGACAGAAAACTCTTTTAAAAAAATATGCTGCGGAAACTATTTGTTGTTAGCGAAAAAACGTTTTGCACGTGCATTAATCACGTTTCAGTGAGCACAGTTAGCATTGAAGCCGTTATAATTTCAACGATTTTCGCGCGGTCAAAATGTACTATAGTCTAATTCATCCAATTTGAAATAGTGAAAACCGCCCTCCTGTATGACGTTACTTGTGAGTACTAATATCAAATTCTAAGCCAAATTAAGTCCATGTTACCATATATAGTCAAATCATAGATAACTCTGTTAAGATAGAGAAGCGAAATGATAGAATTTAATATGCATTGTGCTAGATATCAATAGTATTAGGACAGAATAATAATTTAATTTTGGAAAGAGAAAAAAAACATGTTGCTACGTAACATTTCGTATTTTATGCCTGTAAGACATATTTTGTCAGTTGTAAATAATGTAAACGAATGATACCTTGATTAAGCTGCAATAGTAAGCGTCGGTAGCGTGGCCGAGCGGTCTAAGGCGCTGGTTTAAGGCACCAGTCTCCTCGGAGGCGTGGGTTCGAATCCCACCGCTGCCAAGTGATTTTTTTAAGTAAGTTAGGAATCAATTTATCGATTTTTGCATTTATTGACGAAAATTTTAATGCATAAAAGATTAATACATTGAAGATCTTGTTTTAATCATAGATAGAACACAATTATCATGTTTCATTTACGTATTTCAAATTCTGAACGCTATCTACATGCAGTTAAAAATTCATGACTAGCATTGCAGAAGAATAACTGGTTACACGTATAATACAGGTTTTCACAACTATTCGAAATGCTTTGAAAACAGGAGTAACGGGGGATAAAAAAACTATGCCCCGGGTGAGGATCGAACTCACGACCTTCAGATCGCTCTGACATTTGTGATTATGAGACTGACGCGCTACCTACTGCGCTACCGAGGCCGTGGTTCTAAAACTTCAATTTAAGGTGTAAATACTTCATAACATTACCATTAACATTGTAGTTACTTGTCAAGGTGAGTGTAGGGCAAAAAGAAACATCTTTTTCTTAAAGGAAACATATTTCAAAACATAATGAGCTGTGTTGGTTGTTCATTTTTATAGTTCTTTAGTTTTTGAAATACTTTTTATGGTTTTGGGTTTTTTCCCCCCATTTCTTTTTTCTCCAGGAGCCAATTAAGTATATACCCAGCAAACACACGACGTACTCCCAACGTCGGTTAATGGTCGTCTGAACGTCATGTCTTGAGTTTACGTCGTACCAACGTTGTGGGAACGTAAAAACCCAACGTTGGATGCAGACGTACAGACTACGTTATAAAATTACGTCGAATTTACGTAAATTTAGTACCCTGTCAGGACGTAACATTTTATTACGTTGTGACAACGTGCTTATAACTGTCATAATCCGACGTAACATTTTGTTACGTCGTATCAACATTATAATAACGTAGTGAACAAACCCTGTGAATACCAGTGACACATTTAAATCTGGTTTTATGGGACAAATTTTGTGGGTATGAGTCTTCCTGGATATAACATTCACCTTCACTAGAATATATTCACGATTTTTTTCGATTTTCAAAATATCCCCCTTTTTTCCCGCACAGGCATAATTTGCACCAAAATGTCCAAGAAAATATTGCAAATCCAATTTTAATGTTCTAATATATATATTTTGTATGAATATTTATTGTTTAATATATCATTAAAGTTTTGTCATCATTTATCGTTTTTTTACGATTGGTTATAAATAGTGGAACGTTCAGCAGTACTCGGGTTTTACCGCTGCATACTATGAAAAGTCTGAGCATGCGCACTTTCACCGCTTGATTTTTAAAAACAGTGATAACCAAACTTGCAGTGAAATTTTGCTCGATCCAGATTCCAGAACAAAGAAAAAGGTAATATAATAATTGCACATTACGCCAAAAAAGGTTCTCCATGATAAAAACAAGTATGATTGAAGAAAATAAAACATCTGTTGCCGTGTTGGGCGCCTCTTTCAAGTCTGTTGTCCGTGACCGTGTTGAAATATGATACTTCTTATTTTACTGTCAATATTATATTGCACTGATACAAGATACTTTAGCCAAAATTTGTGTTATTTGAATCCATTTTTCAAATTGCTCGATTAACTTGTGTTGTTTTTTAAGATATATGAAATTAACTGTAGAAAGTAAAAAAAAGGGGGGTGCACAGCACAGCCACAGGCACTTGTTTTCTTTCCATGCCAAGAGCTACTATCCCTATATATTAAGGCTGCAAGTGTCTTTTGCACTGTTATTTTTTGATAATGTTGGAAGCATAAAAGTCTTATCAATATCACAAATGCGAAGCTAGACATCTTGGCACATTACAAACTCTGCCCATTACAAACTTGGCATGTTACAAACTCAGCCTATTAATGATAATACTACATGTATCACTGGTGGTCGTCCTGAACATGCATGAAATATTTGCCACTGGACGTTAGGCAACCAACAATCAATCAATGTATCACTGGGTCTGACATGCATGGGAATAAACAATTGTGCCAATAACGACTGTTGTAATTAGATAAATTAAAATACCCTTCCAATAAAATTGAGAATGGAAATGGGGAATGTGTCAAAGAGACAACAACCCGACCATAGAACAGACAACAACAGAAGGTCACCAACAGGTCTTCAATGCAGCGAGAAATTCCCGCACCCGGAGGCGTCCTTCAGCTGGCCCCTAAACAAATATATATACTAGTTCAGTGATAATGAACGCCATACTAAACTCCAAATTGTACACAAGAAACTAAAATTAAAAACAATACAAGACTAACAAAGGCTATAGGCTCCTGACTTGGGACAGGCGCAAAAATGCGGCGGGGTTAAACATGTTTATGAGATTTCAACCCTCCCCCTATACCTCTAGCCAATGTAGAAAAGTAAACGCATAACAATACGCACATTAAAATTCAGTTCAAGAGAAGTCCGAGTCTGATGTCAGAAGATGTAACCAAAGAAAATAAACAAAATGACAATAATACATAAATAATAACAGACTACTAGCAGTTAACTGACATGCCAGCTCCAGACTTCAATTAAACTGATTGAAAGATTATGTCTTCATCATATGAATATCAGGCACAATCCTTCCCGTTAGGGGTTTAGTATCATACCATCATAACATATATGAGAAGAACATAACCCGTGTCATGCCAACAACTGGTTTTTAAATAAATGTGTTTAGTGCCGATGCAAAGACCCTATAAGTGAATCAATATTAATGCCAAAATATGCAATCTTTAATGACCTGACAACAGTATCGTAACTATATCCTTTCTTAATAAGTCTATTTATAGGTTTTGTTAGCTTCAGAGGTGAATACTGACATTTTTGTGCTTTATAAAGAATATTTCCATAAAAAATTGGATGTGAAATACCTGAACGTATAAGAAGTCTGCATGTTGAGCTATATTTACGAATGATGTCCTTATACCGATGATAAAATTTAGTAAATGTTTTGACTAGTTTGTGATATCGAAAACCCTGGTGTAATAATTTTTCAGTAATACATAAATTTCTCTCGTTAATAATTATTTGGGACTAGATCGTCGTAGATAGGCGTCACAGAAAAAAATTAAAATAGCGTTCCAAGACGTCATAATTATTTGGCACTAGGTCGTCGTAGATAGGCGTCAGAGAAAAAAAATTAAAATAGCCTTCCAAGACGTCATAATTATTTAGACTAGGATCCAGTCGGGAAAAGTTGGGTAAAATTTTCCTGTTTTGAGGGTAAAACCAAGTTTACTGGTGTTAGAAAAACCAGTATATAGGGACGTCTTTTTTGCTGTTCAATTTATGGTATGAAATCTAAGTGTTTATCAATGACGAGCTGTATTCAACTCTCACTAAATATGTGATCAGAAACAATGTCGTAATCAATCATAAAACTTATGAATTTTGGAATGCATGTAAATTTGTCACTTACCTAGTTCTCCCAAAGATTTGTTGGACTGACACTCATATAAACAGACGGAGGAATATAGAAGATAATTTAATGTATTTATAATTTTTTTTCCAGAGTCTTGTATAAAAATCCACAGATCCAATGTGTCTGAGGTTGAGGAATGCATTGCAGTAACACTTAAGCATGCACCAGCTCAAAAAGATGTACCAAGATATAAAAAGGTAAACATCAGTTGATCAGCTCTTTTTATGACCTCCTTCACTGAGTGATATAGTTTTACTCTTGTTCTGTACGTTCATACATTGAACTCAAAATTGGTTTCTGTTCTCTAACTTTAGTTTGCCTGAACGACATGTTATGAAATTTATACACAATGCTTATTATCATAAAACGCAGAGTTTGAATTTGAAGAGCATCTGTTTTACTGTTCTTTAGTTATCTCCTTTAATAACATCATTTGTGGCTCATAGACACATTCTTCTTTTATTAATTTTATTTATCAAATTATAATTTGTTGATTTTATAGATTGCGTTCATTGGAATATGATATAAGGTCTTGCTGTATTGCTGTAAATTCTAAATGTATTAAGGTAAAATCCTATGAATATCTAAAATTAATTGATAAATAACAATTTTGAGAAACCAAACTTCCTTTTTTAATTTGGATTCATTATTATTTGTAGAATAACTACTGGTTGTTCCAGAAAATACTATGTCCTCCCAGGGAAGGCTCTTTTTTTAAATTTTATGTGGGGGTGGTTGTATTTGAAATACCAAAATGCAAAGGGAGTGTTGTTCTTATTTATTTTTATACGTCTGTTTACGGGACGTATTATGGTATACCGTTGTCCGTCTGTCCGTCCGTCATCAACATGTTGGACATTAACTCAAAACTGCTTTAACCAATTTGTATAAAACTTTGGTGAATTGTTTAATTCTATTGACGTGCATGACGTGAGCTCCCTTTCGTTTTTCTATAAATTTTAGATTTTACGTTTCCGAGTTATGGGGTTTTATTCATTAAAAAAGGGGGGATTTTCCAGTTTTCGGAAAATAACTCAAGAATGCTTTCACCAACTTGCAAGAAATTGTGGTGAATTGTTTATATCTATTGACATGAGCTCCCTTTTGATTTTTATATATTTTAGAATTTTACGTTTCTGAGTTACAGGGTTTTATTCATAAAGAAGGGGGATTTTCCAGTTTTCGGACAAAACTCAAAAATGCTTTCAGCAGTTCGTATGAAACTTTGGTGAATTGTTTATATCTATTGATGTAAGCTCCCTTTAGAATTTTATAAATTTTACATTTTACATTTCTGAGTTATGGGGTTTTATTCATTAAAAAAGGGGGGATTTTCCCAGGGGCATTTTCCAGTTTCGGACAATAACTCAAAAATGCTGTCAGCAATTCTCATGAAACTTTGGTGAATTGTTTATATCTATTGATGTAAGCTCCCTTTTGATTTTCATAATTTCTAATATGACATTGAGAATTAGTTGAACTTTATTTGTTTATAGTCTGACAACAGATTTACTAAGTATTGCGCAACAGCACAGTGTATTGCACAACAGCAAGAAATCTTTATATTAATTGAATATAAATTCAATTCATATAACCAATTTCAAGTTCTTTGACTACATTTATTCAGAAACCTATAATATGTCAAATATTTAATTTCAATCCAAATTCAGACCTGTATCAAGCTTGAATATTGTGTCCATTTTTGCCCCAACTGTTCAGGGTTGGACCTCTGCGGGCGTATCCAGCTGCGCACAGCGAAGCAGTTTATTAATTCTGTCGGTGCTGGGGGTTAAAAAATGGTCGTCCCTGGGGGGAGGACATAGTATTTTCTGGAACAGCAATGTTTTCATTAACACATGTTCTATTTAACAACAAATTTATTTTTTAAATAAGAACAAAGGTTAACCAAAAGTTATAAATTATTATATACTGTTGAAATTATGTTAAAATTTCTAACATACATTATCAAAATGTGTATAATTGGCGAAGATACAAACATCTCTGACTCAGTAACAGCACAACATAATTATGAATCTGCAAGATTTATTATACGACCAGCAATAGAAAAAATATTAATTATGTTTACACACAGGATATTTTTTAAGAACTGCTGTAATTCATAAGTTGGGATTAGTTTTTTTTTTGTATTTTATAATTTATGATTATTTATTTTTCAGAGACCTGAAACCAACACAAGACCAGCTGATCAGAGGGCAGAAAACCAAAATTTGGAATGACATGTATACACCCAACACAAGACTAAAATTTGGAATAAAAATTAAAAAAAATCAGAAACATATTATTATTTTTTTATTGGTTCATGAAGCCAAGAAAAAAGAAGTCTTAACTTTTGGATAGGTCTATATCTAGTTGGTCAATGGAAAAAAGCAATAGTTAGTTTGATTGTATTTCAGGTATTTTCTTCATTTGGGATATTTTTAGAAGTGTATAAGTTGTGTAGAATATATATTTGTAAATTAGACAGCCAGCTTTTGGGCTTTTTTCCAAACTTTTTTCCTAGCTTGTCATTGTGTAGTGAATCCAGCTGAATGAATCTACAGTAAATATTAAGGTATATGTGGTAGTTTGTTGTATTTCTGAATAATTCATTAGAAAATGTTTTCCTTCGTTAAAGTGAAATCTACATTCTAGAATTTCCACCATCATAGTGAAATCTATATTCTAGAACACTGAAACCCTAAACATTCAGAAGTTGCAGCATGTACCAAGATGTCATGTTGAAGGCTGTACAGTTACCTATAATTGCTAACATCATCAATATTTGATTTTAGGATAGAGGGTTGTCTCGTTGGCCATCATACAAAATCTCCTTTTTCAAATAGTATTATGTGTTAAATTTTTTAAAGAAAAGTTGCTTTTGTTAAATGGAAATGTGTAAATCTTGTACTTCAGTATTGCAAAAGTTAAAAACTAAGACTTTAACCTTAAACAACTGTGTGAAACATTAATTGGACAAAACTACAGGTTTAATGTAAAACATAATGCAAAGTTTTTGGGAAAACGAAATATTTATACATTTGACATTGAAACCTGGCAAAAAGGTAAAAACAAAACTTTTGTGACTATATTATACACAGCTGGCAGTTTGGAAATAAGAGTACATATCGAAATTGTGTCCATCTTTCCTACATAGACAAATTTACAACTTAAAAAACAGGTCAAAAGAATAAAATATAGACCTTGTTTACTTCTTCAATGGAATTTTATTGCTCCTATCAATCAAATGAGGACAAGGGACATTTACAGTTGTGTTGCGACGTTGTGACAACGTCTTATGAAGGTAATAAATTACGTCACAAATTACGTTGTGCCAACGTTGTGTGGATGGTTGTCAGCACGTGCCTTGGAGTCCACAAAATTACGTTGTACCAACGTAATTTTACTACGTTGTCACAACGATAGTATTACGTTGTCACAACGTAATGTCAACGTTGGATTGTTTACTGGGTAGTGATGACAGAAAACTCTTTTAAAAAAATATGCTGCGGAAACTATTTGTTGTTAGCGAAAAAACGTTTTGCACGTGCATTAATCACGTTTCAGTGAGCACAGTTAGCATTGAAGCCGTTATAATTTCAACGATTTTCGCGCGGTCAAAATGTACTATAGTCTAATTCATCCAATTTGAAATAGTGAAAACCGCCCTCCTGTATGACGTTACTTGTGAGTACTAATATCAAATTCTAAGCCAAATTAAGTCCATGTTACCATATATAGTCAAATCATAGATAACTCTGTTAAGATAGAGAAGCGAAATGATAGAATTTAATATGCATTGTGCTAGATATCAATAGTATTAGGACAGAATAATAATTTAATTTTGGAAAGAGAAAAAAAACATGTTGCTACGTAACATTTCGTATTTTATGCCTGTAAGACATATTTTGTCAGTTGTAAATAATGTAAACGAATGATACCTTGATTAAGCTGCAATAGTAAGCGTCGGTAGCGTGGCCGAGCGGTCTAAGGCGCTGGTTTAAGGCACCAGTCTCCTCGGAGGCGTGGGTTCGAATCCCACCGCTGCCAAGTGATTTTTTTAAGTAAGTTAGGAATCAATTTATCGATTTTTGCATTTATTGACGAAAATTTTAATGCATAAAAGATTAATACATTGAAGATCTTGTTTTAATCATAGATAGAACACAATTATCATGTTTCATTTACGTATTTCAAATTCTGAACGCTATCTACATGCAGTTAAAAATTCATGACTAGCATTGCAGAAGAATAACTGGTTACACGTATAATACAGGTTTTCACAACTATTCGAAATGCTTTGAAAACAGGAGTAACGGGGGATAAAAAAACTATGCCCCGGGTGAGGATCGAACTCACGACCTTCAGATCGCTCTGTCATTTGTGATTATGAGACTGACGCGCTACCTACTGCGCTACCGAGGCCATGGTTCTAAAACTTCAATTTAAGGTGTAAATACTTCATAACATTACCATTAACATTGTAGTTACTTGTCAAGGTGAGTGTAGGGCAAAAAGAAACATCTTTTTCTTAAAGGAAACATATTTCAAAACATAATGAGCTGTGTTGGTTGTTCATTTTTATAGTTCTTTAGTTTTTGAAATACTTTTTATGGTTTTGGGTTTTTTCCCCCCATTTCTTTTTTCTCCAGGAGCCAATTAAGTATATAGTGATGACAGAAAACTCTTTTAAAAAAATATGCTGCGGAAACTATTTGTTGTTAGCGAAAAAACGTTTTGCACGTGCATTAATCACGTTTCAGTGAGCACAGTTAGCATTGAAGCCGTTATAATTTCAACGATTTTCGCGCGGTCAAAATGTACTATAGTCTAATTCATCCAATTTGAAATAGTGAAAACCGCCCTCCTGTATGACGTTACTTGTGAGTACTAATATCAAATTCTAAGCCAAATTAAGTCCATGTTACCATATATAGTCAAATCATAGATAACTCTGTTAAGATAGAGAAGCGAAATGATAGAATTTAATATGCATTGTGCTAGATATCAATAGTATTAGGACAGAATAATAATTTAATTTTGGAAAGAGAAAAAAAACATGTTGCTACGTAACATTTCGTATTTTATGCCTGTAAGACATATTTTGTCAGTTGTAAATAATGTAAACGAATGATACCTTGATTAAGCTGCAATAGTAAGCGTCGGTAGCGTGGCCGAGCGGTCTAAGGCGCTGGTTTAAGGCACCAGTCTCCTCGGAGGCGTGGGTTCGAATCCCACCGCTGCCAAGTGATTTTTTTAAGTAAGTTAGGAATCAATTTATCGATTTTTGCATTTATTGACGAAAATTTTAATGCATAAAAGATTAATACATTGAAGATCTTGTTTTAATCATAGATAGAACACAATTATCATGTTTCATTTACGTATTTCAAATTCTGAACGCTATCTACATGCAGTTAAAAATTCATGACTAGCATTGCAGAAGAATAACTGGTTACACGTATAATACAGGTTTTCACAACTATTCGAAATGCTTTGAAAACAGGAGTAACGGGGGATAAAAAAACTATGCCCCGGGTGAGGATCGAACTCACGACCTTCAGATCGCTCTGTCATTTGTGATTATGAGACTGACGCGCTACCTACTGCGCTACCGAGGCCATGGTTCTAAAACTTCAATTTAAGGTGTAAATACTTCATAACATTACCATTAACATTGTAGTTACTTGTCAAGGTGAGTGTAGGGCAAAAAGAAACATCTTTTTCTTAAAGGAAACATATTTCAAAACATAATGAGCTGTGTTGGTTGTTCATTTTTATAGTTCTTTAGTTTTTGAAATACTTTTTATGGTTTTGGGTTTTTTCCCCCCATTTCTTTTTTCTCCAGGAGCCAATTAAGTATATAGTGATGACAGAAAACTCTTTTAAAAAAATATGCTGCGGAAACTATTTGTTGTTAGCGAAAAAACGTTTTGCACGTGCATTAATCACGTTTCAGTGAGCACAGTTAGCATTGAAGCCGTTATAATTTCAACGATTTTCGCGCGGTCAAAATGTACTATAGTCTAATTCATCCAATTTGAAATAGTGAAAACCGCCCTCCTGTATGACGTTACTTGTGAGTACTAATATCAAATTCTAAGCCAAATTAAGTCCATGTTACCATATATAGTCAAATCATAGATAACTCTGTTAAGATAGAGAAGCGAAATGATAGAATTTAATATGCATTGTGCTAGATATCAATAGTATTAGGACAGAATAATAATTTAATTTTGGAAAGAGAAAAAAAACATGTTGCTACGTAACATTTCGTATTTTATGCCTGTAAGACATATTTTGTCAGTTGTAAATAATGTAAACGAATGATACCTTGATTAAGCTGCAATAGTAAGCGTCGGTAGCGTGGCCGAGCGGTCTAAGGCGCTGGTTTAAGGCACCAGTCTCCTCGGAGGCGTGGGTTCGAATCCCACCGCTGCCAAGTGATTTTTTTAAGTAAGTTAGGAATCAATTTATCGATTTTTGCATTTATTGACGAAAATTTTAATGCATAAAAGATTAATACATTGAAGATCTTGTTTTAATCATAGATAGAACACAATTATCATGTTTCATTTACGTATTTCAAATTCTGAACGCTATCTACATGCAGTTAAAAATTCATGACTAGCATTGCAGAAGAATAACTGGTTACACGTATAATACAGGTTTTCACAACTATTCGAAATGCTTTGAAAACAGGAGTAACGGGGGAGAAAAAAACTATGCCCCGGGTGAGGATCGAACTCACGACCTTCAGATCGCTCTGTCATTTGTGATTATGAGACTGACGCGCTTTTTTTTTTTTTTATCTTTATTAAAATAAATCATCGGATATAGTACATGTTAAAACTGATAAAACTAATCAAAAATAAACAACATTAATCAATATGCATACAGTAATAGAAACAATGAGGTTTGTCATCTATATATCATACATTTACAAATCAAATACTAAGACATCATCTGTTTCTTGTACAATTGGATTGTCTTTTAGAAAGTTCTTTTCAAAAACATTGCTCTTGTTATTTTGCTGACATAGGTATACATAAAAATATGTTACATAATGTTTCAATGTATATTGGAACAGTTTGATCAAATTTACATTTTTGTGTCCATTTTTCAGTAAATTTCTTCTCCGAAAGATACAGAACCTAGCTACTGACAATACAAAATTTAAGAAAAGGTCATTCACGCCTTTCATTTTCCATCTGAGTCCATTTAATAATAACATTTCACTCTGTACTAAACTTATTTTATCAGAGTCACAATGTTCAAATATTTTACATAGTAAAGTAGACAAATAGTCATGAAAGTCTTCTAGTTCATCACAGTTTATAAATATATGCATAATATCTTCATTTTCTTTATTACATACATCACACAATTCAGAATCAGACAGCCCAATTTTCTTTAATTTCACATTTGTAAAGACACAGTTATGTATTATTTTATAATCCAACTCTATCATTTTTGAGGGCTTCCAAAACACATTAACATGTTTCCAAATTTTACACAATTCTGCTTCATCTAAAGCATATAATTTTTTCCATATAATTGGCCCAATAGGCTCTTCAATTATGTCTTCTAACAAACATTGATATAACTTTTTAACATTACAAGATTTCAAGTCACAAGGTACATTTTTTATCAATACAGATATATCTATTGTTCTATCCATATTTCTATGGTGTACATTATTGTCAATAGTATTCTTCCATTCCTTTGGTATAATAGATAATAAACAATGATACCTATCAATTACATATTGAATACTTACATAATCACATACATTATCAATCATATCTACAATTGCATTTTTTGGTAAAAACCCAGTCTTAACCTCATAGCAAATATCTTTGATAGTCACAATACCAGCTTGTATGAAATCATACCAAATAATAGTTTTATCATCTAAAACAATTTTTGGATTACAGAACAAAGGTTGATCATATATATTTTCAACAGTTAACTGAAAATCTAACTTACATCCTAGGGAGTACAAAGCTTGACACATTTCTCGATAAACCATAGGAATACATTTTAATTCACAATTTGGTATTTTTGTATATAATATTTCTAATCCTAATTGCATGCCATATATTTTGGATACAAAATATTTGAATGTATCTTTCCATAACACATGATACTGATCATCAATTAGTCTACCTATATATTTCAATCTAAATGCATACATTTTACATTTAATATCAGACAACTGTAATCCACCTTTAACTTTTTCATCAACTATAGAACTATATTTAACTAAATGGGATCTATTATCCCATATAAAATTGACACATAATCTTTTAATTTCTACATATGCCCACTCTGGCATAGATGTAACAAATAATGCGTACCAAAATCTTGACAACATTAATGTATTTACAACAGTGACTCTACCTTGTAAAGTCAGTTGTCTCTGTAACCACATGTTCAAAAGACTTCTTACTTTCTTTATTTTATTTTTCC